TATAAATATTAAAATTGGCGCTGTAGTCATGTTAGTTAAAAATATAAACGTTGAAGAAAGTTTATGTAACGGTACAATTGGTATTGTAACATTTATAGAAACAGATGGTGTTTGGGTTAATATAAACGGTAGAGAATTTAAAATCGAAAACGTTAGAGAAGACATTTTAGATTGTAACTCATAGTATTATTGCATCTAGAATTGGTTTACCTTTACAATTAGCATTTTCTTTAACTGTTCATAAAGCGCAAGGTTGCACGTTAAATAAAACTGTTTTAAATTTTAACAGTAAAATATTTATTATGTCGTTACCCTATGTTGCGTTATCACGTGTTAAAGATTTGAATGATCTATATATAATTCATAATAATAAAAACGAATTGAGAAAAATATTAAAAAATATAACAAGTGATAGAGAAGTTGATTTATTTTATAAAAATTTAAATGAAAAAAATTTGTAACATGTTAAAAAAATATATTTATTTGTTATATATAAAAAAATTTTTTTTTAGATTAATAATAAAAAAATGCATTTTAAGGTTAAGAACATTGAAGAAAAATTAGATAACGAAAGTTATTATCGAGAAATATTATATTTTGTAAATGACAATTATAAAGATGAAGATTTTATCGAAGAAATTGAATTAAACGATCAAATTCAAACACCTGAAGAAATTACTCATCACATTAATCAAAAAACACAAGATAGTTTTCTTATTGAAACAAATAAAGCGTTATCATTTGCTGATTTATTTCAAAATTTTTTAATTGGTTATAATATTGTAACACTTTGCGCTAAATCTACAGAAGACGGTTATTGTAAAATTATAAAAAGATGTTACAATTCGCCTGTATATTATATAAAACCACTAGAAGGATCAATAAATTTACAATATATTAAAAGTAATAACATTCGTTCAGTTTTTAACATTTTGGAAAATGATAGCGGATGGAGAATAATTCGTTTATCTAGTTTTAAAGTAAAAACATTAAGCAATTTAACTGAAAAATCAATGATGAAACTTAGAAATTATGAACTTGCTGGATACAAAAGAGTTTCTGAACTGAGTCCAGAAGAATTAATGATGAGACGAGAATATGAACGTAAACGAAAGAAAAAAAATTCTAAACTGAGTCCAGAAGAATTATTGAAAAAGCGAGAACGTGATCGTAATCGAAAGAAAAAATATTATATTGAAAATAAAAACAAAATTCTTCATAAACAAATTTTTCATAAACAAGGTCGCGTGTATATAAAAGAAGAAAATCAAGATGAATGGTATGGAGAATGGTATCGACCTCATTCTTTAACTCAATGGAACAAACATAAAAGTAGTTCGTTTAAAGTATTATCATACGATCAAAAAAGAAAAATGTTTTTAGATTATAGTATTTTGTTTGAAAATGGTTTGTGTTTTTATTCAGCGTTTGTTATTTCATTATTAATAAGAAAGTGGAAAGTAAATACAATTAAAGAATGGAATACAAAAGTATTAGAAAAAAACGGACAAGACTTTTATTCTGAAGAAAATATAATGCAATTTCTTATTGAAGATCAAAATGATTCGTGGTTACATGCATTAAGTCTCTTAAAAGAAAAAAGTAAAAATTTATCATTTCTAGAACTCATTGATTTGTGTCACTCTTTTGCATACGATAACACTTTTGATCGAATAAATATAAAAATATTTTCAATAAATAAAAAAAATAAAAACGTTCGTTTGCTACATCCTAAAATGAAATCGCAATATAAATGTGTACTATCGGAGCTATTAAAAGTGGTATACGAGAGCGCAAATATAACTAAAGAAGATCAAAATCCTCAGAGAGAATTTTTAAACGAAGACGAAAGAAAAGAAGCTAACGAGCGTAAAAAAACAGTAAATACAATAAAAATATGCTTGTATGAAAAAAATCAGTCTTTTCACGCTGTTAGTATGCTTAATGAACGTTTTTCTGTTATATATAATAATAATAATAATAATAATCAACTGTATCAATGTTCGGAGTGTGGTCTCAAATATACTAGTGAAATTCATAAACAAGAATGTAAAGGATTTTATGTAGCAGACAAATTTTCATACGGAAAAAATAGACATTTTTATGAACCTCAAAATCAATTTATAAACACTTCTCGAAACGTTTTTCCTTTTTTTATTACGTTTGACTGTGAAACAAGTGTTCAAACATCAAATTTAAAAGAAACACGACACGTTAAACCTTTGTCAGATCTTTCGTACTATTGTCACGGCATTGTTATTCATTGTTTATCTGAAAATTTAGCTAGAGAATGTTTTGGTTTAGATGAAAGAAATAAAGTTATAACACAGTGGATATTTTATTATGAAAATACAATTGAAAGTTTGCAAGCAAATCCTTTAACATTACTACCTGCATGTTTTCAAGAAAATGTTTCTTTACTACACAAAACACATAGACAAATTTTGTGGCAAAAATTGGATGCAAATGACGAAAATGTTGAAAAATATAAAAGCGAACTGAGAGTATATGATTTGTTAATTTTGGCTGACACTTTAGTTCGTTTTACCTACGAAAAATGTTTACCTCGTTTTCAAAACTTAAACCTTTCTGAACACGAAAAATGTCAAGTATGGCAAGAAGAAAATCCTTTGTGTACAATATGCAGATGTCCTGCAGACAAAATAAAGAAATCTGATGTGCACAGTTACAAATTAACTACAATGTTAGAACCAGGAATAAATTTATTAAATCATAACGAAATTAGATTTTATAACGACAAACGTGTTCAAGTTGTAAATCATATATTTAAACGAGTAAGCAAATTAGAATTGTTTATGCTTAAACCGTCAACTCAAAATTATTTAATAACAAGCAATGTAGAAAAAATTAAAAATGATTTGTTTCAAATATCTAGTTTATTTTATATTTGTTGCAGATGGTGGGAAAAATTTGACCGCACTCTTATAACAAACGGGTTTTTAAGTGATTATGTAAGAATAAACTCGTTAGATCTTGTCGATCACATGAAATGTTTAAGTCAACTCGTTATGAACGAGCAACAAATTAACATATGGTTTGAAAATGATCCTATAGAATTACTAGAAGATTCTTTTTTTTTAATACGAGTTTTTCAAAAATGTATCAACGAAGTTAACGTGCATTGGAAATATGAACGTGGAATGGGAATAAAAGATTCTATTACTTTTTTACATCTCATGTCTCGTTTAAATCATCCGTCTGCTCATTTATGGTTTCATTGTATGTTGGAACCGTTAAATAACGAATTTGAAAAAAAAAGAACGTTAAAAGAATTAATTCAAGATGATAAAGGAAGAGATGACGTCTTAAAAGAATGTTACGGTTTGTTATCATGTTTTGAAAATTACTTGGTTATTGATCATAATCACTTTTCAGGCACAGTTTACGGATTGGCGCACGATTATTGCAACAAAAACTTGGCACGTTATAGTAGTAAATTAGCTTGTCCTATCTTTGCCCACAATGCTTCTTTTGATAATCGTATTATGATTGTTGAAGGTTTAAAAAAAATATTAGATGTTCCTTTATATAGCTACGGAGAAAATACTGAGGACAAACCTTTTATCGCTTTTTTAAAGTGTTGCAATATGGAAAATATGTTTGTTATTTCTAAAGGTGTAAACAAATTTAATATTATTTGCATTGGCAAACACATAAAAATTGTAGACACATTGAAAATTTTAAATTGTTCTTTGGATCAAGCGAGCAGTATGTTATCTAAAAAGGCACAAAATCAAATTATTGACAGCATGTTACACTATTTGTTACCTTTTTATCCCCATATTAACCAATTGGTAGACAACTAAGAATTTAAAAATTGTTTCATTAAAAAAACTTTGTTTCCTTATTCGCAAATATCAGATAAACTTTTAAACATTGAATACAAAAATATACCTTCTATTGAAATATTTGCTAAAAACGATTTAATGAAATCAAAAACAATAGAAGACGAAATTAAAAAAATTAAAGATTCTTATG